AACTTTATTGCTGCCCTCACTATCAGATAAAGGCCTACTATGTTTTACTAAACTGTGAAGAGTATTAAAAACATCTATGATAGTATCAATATTTTTATTATTTAGTTTATACACTAAATTGGAAATTGAGTCATTAGTTGATTCTTTTAACAAATCGTGAATTTTAGTAGTCTTTAGGAAAATCATATTCCCTAATTTTTTTTTTTTCAGAAAAGTGTGCCTAGTAGTTTTATTAGTACCATTTGGGGTTACTCCATATGCCCTCCATTCCTTGGACATATGAACATGCTTTTCTTCTCTCCCTCCCTAACGCTGAATATCAAACAATCCTTACATATTAGTTTATATTCTTTTATTTCAAGCAATTTGTACTGCTCTGAAAACATAAACACTTGTCTTTTCATTCCAACAATCTGGAAGCACAAGGTTATCTACCTCCTTTGCTAACCATGATGGTGTTTCTTCAATGACTAGTTGTTCAACAACTTTGAAATTTTTTTCCATTAGCTTAGGTATCCTACAATTTTCACTCCTATCATTTTCTGTGTCTGTTTTCAACTTCATCAGATTTAAAAAACTTAATAAGTCACTCTGTTACTTTGGCATTTTAGGGATCTGAATCTGTAAAATAATTTTAAGTTAGTAAAATTCACAATACTACTTGGGCGTTAACAAAATTTTTAAAAATAATTTTAATATGATTTTAGAAATAGCATACATTTTATTTTTTAATTAAAATTTTTTTCCTACATTGTAATTAGCTAAACCAATATTTTGTACCCTGCTTATAAATGTAGAGCTGGGTAAAAATAAGTCACAGATGGTATTCTTAGCTTTTGGTATTAATTTTTTTAATGCAAACTTCTAAGAATATGCTAATATTTGGTTTCATCTAAAAGATTTAGAAAGTGATATTTTGTTTCCATTATTTTAGAAATAATAGGTACGCATCTGTGTTTTTATATACATTATATACCTATGTCATATACATTAGTATATATAAAAATATGTGTATATATAAATATGCATATATATGCCTGTTTTACATCTTTTTTTTTTAACCTTTTGACCCTCTTCACCCATTTGTCCTCCATTCCCACCTCTGGCAACCATTAATCTGCTCTCTATATCTATGAACTTGTTTTTTCGTTTTTTTTTTCCTTAAAGATCCACATGTAAGAGAGATCATACAGTATTTGTCTTTTTCTGTATTATTTCACTTAGCATAATGCCCTCAAGTTCAATCCATCTTTTCACAAATGGCAAGATGTCATTCTTTCTCATGGGTGTGTAATATTCCATTGTATATATACCACATTTTCTTTATCCATCCATCCATTGATAGACACCTAGGCTGTTTCCGTGTCTTGGTTTTTGTAAATAATGCTGCAATAAACATGGGGGTACATATGTCTTTTTGAGTGTTTTCATTTTCTTTGGATAAATACTCCGAAGTAGAATTGCTGTAATATACAGTAAGTCTATTTTTAATTTTTTGAGGAATCTTCATACTGTTTTCCACAGTGGCTGCACCAATTTACATTCCCACCAGCAGTGTACAAGGGTTCCCTTTTCTCCACATCCTCACCAATACTTGTTATTTCTTGTCTTTTTGATAACAGACATTCTGACAGGTATGAGCTTTTGATATCTCATTGTGGTTTTGATTTGCACTTCCCTGATTAACACTGTTGAGCATCTTTTCATGTACCTGTTTACCTTCTGTATGTCTTCTATTGAAAAATATCTATTCAAATCTTCTACCATTTTTTAATTGGATTTTTTCTTTGCTATTGAGTTGTATGAGTTGTATCTTTATAGACTTTGGATATTACCTCCTTATCAGATATGTATTATCTCCCATCAGTAGGTTGCCTTTTCATTTTGTTGATGGTCTCCTTTGCTGTGCAGAAGCTTTTTAGGATGATATAGTCCCACTTATTTATTTTTGCTTTTGGTGTCAGATTCAAAAAATCATCACCAGACCTATGTCAAGGAGCTTACTGCCTGTATTTTTCCTTCTAGTAGTTTTATGGTTTCAGGTTTTACATTCCAGTCTTTAATCCCTTTGAGTTAATTTTTGTTTATGGTGTAAGACAGCTTCCCCAACACCATTTATTGAAGAGACTATCCTTTCCCCATTACATATTCTTGGTAACTTTGTCATATGTTAATTGACCATATATGCATGGGTTTATTTCTGGGCTTTCTATTCTGTTCCACTGATCTATGCGTATGTTTTTAGGCCAATGCCATACTGTTTTAATTACAATAGCTTTATAATACAAAGTCAGGGAGTGTGATGCCTCCAGCTTTGTTCTTTCTCAAGATTGCTTTGGCTATTCAGGTTTTTTGTTTGTTTTGTTTTGTTTTGTTTGATTCCATTCAAATTTTGGATTATTTCTATTCCTTTGAAAAATGCCATTGGGATTTTGATAAGAATTGCACTGATCTGTAGATTGCTTTGGGTTGTATGGACATTTTAACAATATTGATTCTTCCAATCCATGAACATGGAATATCTTTCCATTTATCTGCGTCTTCTTCCATTTCTTTCATTAATGCCTTATAGTTTTCAATATATAGGTTTTTCACCTTCCTGATTAAATTTATTCCTAAGTATTTTATTCTTTTTGATGCAGTTGTAAATGGGGTTGTTTTCTTCATTTCTCTTTCTGATAGTTCATTGCTACTCTATAGAAACACAACAGACTTTTGTGTTTTAATGGAGTCTTTAGCATGAATTTTAAACAAAAATACTAACTGTGCTTTTCGGTGTTTACCTATACCTTCAGTGTGACTTGCTATTTCTTGAATATCTACTATCAGTTTTAATTTTTTTCCAACAATATCTCACAAAATCAGACTATGAATAAATTCTTGATTATGTTCTACAGTAAGACCCAACTGTAATAGTATAATGATGAATCCTAAAAAGAAAAAATTCTTGATTATGATTTGATTCAGCAAAAAAGATGCTCACATCACTGCCAAAGAAGTGTAGTTTGGACATGGATGCTGACTGATATTTTTGTTTAATTAAGTAGTAAGAAAAAAGCAAACCAGTGAACTTCACTGTTGGAACTTCATTCATATGTCAATGACGTAAGCAACTTCTTTACTGAACTGGATGACAGTTTTTGAATACTGGAACAATACTTTCTTAACCTTTTGTGCTACTCACAACGTCAAGGCCACAGATGTCATACACTGTTTAGTTCTGCATTATTAATATTTTCTCCACTAGCCTACTGCCTGTTTTTATAAATACAGCTTTATTAAAACATAGCCATGCCCACTTTAAATGTAAGAGTTGAGCAGTTGTGACAAAGACCATATGTACTAGAAGGCCTTAAATATTTACTAATTGGCTGTTTACAGAAAAAATTGCAAACACTTGGTCTAGAAAATCAACAAAACAATAAGCCAAGCCCTGATTTGTAGCATTTGCCAATTTCCATGGTGTAAATACTCCTATTGCAGCCAATTTCATGCTGCATATGTGACAAACACACAAACATGAACAGAGTTGGACAGAAACACATACAACATAATATAGTATTTCCATCCTACAGATACCATAGACAACCTTAAGAGTAATTAGTAAAATGAAGTTTAAAAAAGTGACGTTTTGAGGGCTTCCCTGGTGGCACAGCGGTTGAGAGTCCGCCTGCCGATGCAGGGGACATGGGTTCATGCCCCGGTCCGGGAGGATCCCACATGCCCCGGAGCGGCTGGGCCTGTGAGCCATGGCTGCTGAGCCTGCGCTCCGCAACTGGAGAGGCCACAGCAGTAAGAGGCCCGCGTATCGCAAAAAAAAAAAAAAAAAAAAAGTGCCGTTTTGAGTATTTATTACCTGTTTTTAACATATTTGTTAATTTATATAAATTGATTTTAATAGTGGTTATGCTTAACAACTAGCTCATAAAATCCCCCCCCAAAATAGCAATCAACCTTGCAAACTGGTAAAAGCCAACTGTGGTGTACTACTAGCTCTATTTTCAAAAGGCCAGGAGAACAAGGAGTAATTTGCCTGACAAGTGGCTGAGTCAAGATTCAAATCTAGGTGCAAATTTCTGACTCCGGTTTGGCTTCTTAATCTCCTTAGCAGAGAATAAGGGCCTTTATTGGCTTGTTTAAAAAAAAAAAAAATGGGGAGTGATATATACTAGGGGAACTCCACAAGTAATAGAATGCATTTTCTGCAGTACCATCCTATATATTTGCCACAAGTCTCTAACAAAACTGGCAGGCAGCACGGGAATATGAGTCTTGACGCTTGATACCTATCCCAAATACCTAGTCTGGGCTGGGTATCTGAAGGAATAAGAAAACAACTGATTAGTCTATCCATCACCTGCCGTTGGAAATTGATTAGACATCTTCGTTAACTGCTTTAGGAAGTGTAAATACAGGTGTTTACTACCACGAGCCCCATATAGTGCTTATCGACCTACGTGAATTCTGAAAAGCTTAAGAAAACTTGTGGTTTGAAACCTTACTACACGTGGGGCGCAGGCAAAGGAAAAGGAAAGGACATTCTCGAAGGGCCCTCATACAGCCACACGTACCTGGGGCAAAATGTGCGGGCAGGATAGCCAAGTGCTAGGCCTCCCAACGTACTCTAAACCTTTAGAGCACAGCTCTAAATGAAGGAATGATAAGGGCTAGAGCTGCTGTTGAACTTGGAGATCTGCCCTTGTACAACCGCTTCATTTACATGAAGAAACTCTGCTCTAGTGAGGTGAGGCGACTTGAACTTCAAGCGGTGGAGCCAGGATGAATTTATAGCTCTTTCCACTACACCCCACGGCCTCCTCTAGAACACCCTCCCTGCACAGAACTTACCCCAAAAGCACCAGGAACCTGGTTGGTGACTGGCCTACACTTGAACCTAGGACAAATCTCCTAATCGCTCTTGAGTCAAACTGGAAGCTCTGAGTCAGCAGGTTAAAGCCAAAGTACAGAAGCACAGAACTCTACGTCGTGCAAATACGTAGACCCCTCAAAGAACAAAGGGCGAGACACGGGCCCTGGAAAAAGCAGCCACGCCCCTCACCACGCCCACGCCGCCCCGCAGAGCAACGCGAGCAGCCGCGAGGAGGAGCACGCAGCCGGCGGCGCGCACGCTCTCGCCGAGGCTGCGCGGGAGACGGTCTGACGTGCGCGCCCCCGCGTCGGTGGGCGGGGTCTTGGGCGGGGCTCTGAGCCGGACCGGGGCGGGGCCGCAGGGAGCTGTAGGTGTTGCATCTGGGTCGCGACAGGTGCGCAAGGCAAAGCGCCAGGGACCCGTACCAGGGCTGGTAGCAGCGCAGAGAAAAGACCGCTGTTAGCCAGGTAAGGGCCTTCTTTCTCCACATCCTCCACAGCCGGAGAGTGCACGGAGACGTCGAATTCCCTCCACACCCTCTTTCTCCTGGGACTTTTGGGGGTGGGGGGAACACAAGGAGCGTGAACCCCTCCCCCTCGAGAAAGGGAGTGGAGGAGCTGCTGATCCTTTGCTCTTTCCTCACTTCTGGGTACTGCGCTGGGGTTGGAGTAATTATGTAGAGCGGAGCTTTTGCTGCCTGAGGGCGGGAACTGATAGGATCCCCTCCTCTTCCAACTGGAACACTCCTTTCTAACTATATATAACAATACATACTTTTTTGGTGTGGTGGAGGAAAGCGGCAGTTCATCAAAATTCAAAATAGTCTCCCAGGGAAATATTCTAATAATTCAACTGCTCTTTTCCATTCTCCATTTTTAACCATTCTCTCCCTCTTCGATTTTTCTCCCCTTCCATTCAGCCTTTTGAGATATGTTAATATAGCAGTCCTTACAGCTGGATGTGTCAGCCCAGAATCGCTATCGTGTACATATGGCACCTGTCAATACGTGGGTGTTAATATAAGGTAACTGTACACCCCTGGCTACACCTACTAAGCCTGAAGCTGTAGGTGCTAGGAGCTAACCATCTGGCACCCTTCCTTACCTCCTTACTGGTGCTTACCATCCTGGTGAGAGATATTTGAAATACTATTATCTTTCACCTAATTCCAGCTTTCAGAAGTCTGCCTAATCCAGATGGTTCTATTGACTTGACTTTTCAAGTTAGTCAAAGATAATTAGGGAGTTATCAGCCGTTAAGACAGTGACCCTTTAAAAGGGGAGAGGTCTTCTTTTGCATTAGGTGTTCTTTCTTTTGCTCTTGATTTAAGTGGTTAAATTGAATACTTTTCATTTGCATAGTTATTAATACTATTCACAAATAAGTATTTTAGAAACCATGAAATAACACTTTCTTCTGAGGTCTGATGTAGGCACAAAAGAAGATGACCCTCAATGAGCATTTCCTAAGCTCCTGTGGAGTTATAGCCTGGATGAAGGATGATCATGTTTTAGGTAGACCTTCAAAAACGAGTGTGTGCATATGTATTTCTTTGTTTTGCATTGATAGAACAACACATAACATGGTACTAGGTAATCACTTTAAGAACTCATTTCATTTTTTTGGACAAAACATTTATTGAGTGCCCCTTGTATTGTCAGTCCTGTGGATTCAAAGTTCTAAATGTTCTTACTCTAAAATAGCTTAAAATCAAATGGGTTAGGCAGGTCAATAGATACAACTTAGAGTATTAGTGAGGCCAGTGCTATGCTAGAGATCAACCCAGAGTGCTGTAGGAGCATAGAGAATACAGTTTTTTAAAAATTCCCTCTTCTGCTTTTCCTTGAACACAAAACAAAATAAACAACAACAATAACAAAAACCTTTGAGCAATAGTGAGTGATTCTCTTCAGTCCATGTATTTGTGTGAGTCATATTCCTTACCTTATGTTCTGTCAACATTATGGCCTTTTGATAATGGGATTAGGACTTGTCATTAATTCTATGTAGTTCAGTAAATAGTTGGTGGAGCTATTTTCACAGTTCTGAATTGGGCCTAGAAGTGTTGTTATCATGTAGTCCCTGAACTCTAGAGCCTCTGGGAAGAGAATAGTGTATTGGCAACATTAGCAAAGCAGTGCCATTTTGTAAAACTTGGTCCATTGTGTAACTTTGTTTAGCTTGGTACATTCAAGTTTTGTTCCAGATTCTGGTTAAAGGTGGGCCAAATTTTAACCACCTAATAATTATAAGAAAAGAAAGCTTCAGAAGTGAAAACAATTCTATTAACAGCACATCTTGATTACAGAGGATACTTTTTCTTGCTAAGGTACCCTCAAAATGTCTTTTTCTTTCTTTCTTTCTCTTTCTTTTCTTTTCTTTTTTTTGGAGCAGGGGACAGGGTGGAGGAGGAAAGGGTCAGAAATGTTTGAAGATTCTTTGCAGCGTTTTAATGATCTGAAGTCTGTGGTAGTCTGCAGTGTTCTTCATAAACTGCAGGCATTTAGTAACTGCCTACAGTGTGCCAGTGTTCTAGTATATAGAGGATGAACATGCCACAGTCCCTTCTATATGATTATGTTTTTCATTTTTAAAATAGAGATTTAAAAAAAAATAGTTCTGATGAACCTAGGGGCAGGACAGGAATAATGACGCAGACGTAGAGAATGGACTTGAGGACACGGGGAGGGGGAAGGGTAAGCTGGGACGAAGTGAGAGAGTGGCATTGACATATACACACTACCAAATGTAAAACAGATAGCTAGTGGGAAGCAGCTGCATAGCACAGGGAGATCAGCTCAGTGCTTTGTGGCCACCTA